GGGGAATTTTGATAAATGGGTTTGTTATTTAAGATATGGATTTAGGGATGAATAATATTTACAATATATATATATATATGTATATATATGTATATATATATACATGTATATATATATAATCGCGATAAATTGGATTAAGAGCCATATATTGTAAAAGATACATACTTGTGTATTTACACATTGACGAAAGTTGCATGAAAATGTAGTTTCAGATCTACCCGACGAGAAGACCAGTGTGGGCGAATCTGAAAGCGCTTACTAGAGCTGCCATCCAGTTCCGAGCAGAAGGCATTATAGATAGGATTACGACGTATATTGTAAACTATGAATCGGTAAAATGCCTATGATAAATTTCAGCTGTTAAAAAATTGAACCTTAATAATTCAAAATATTTTGAATGGGAACCGTACTTTCAACTGAACTGTCAAATTTCATGTTTTTTTGTTCAAGAAATCAGTACTTTGTTTGGCTGTTGTTTCCATCGCCGCTTGCCTTCTCGACATTGCCATAGCTGATAACTTCCTCTTCCTTTTATATTATCCACCTCTCATTTATATATTACATTTAGGCAGTTAAGCTGATTATACGTTTTTGAATATATGCAAATGCAAAACGCATATTGTGACGACCCCGGTGTATGCGTCTGTCGCAGTACTTTAACTCGGCAACCGAACAAGCTCGGCGCTGAGTTCTGTCAGTGGGTTCCCCAGCCAAGTGCCGCCTCAGAATCGCGGTATCAGCCTTCACGCACGTTTAGGCCCGCGTATGAGGATGTGGAAGTTTTCGCGGGAAAATCACTAATTCGGGAACCGGAAAAGCTGGGGGGCTGAAATTTTAAGAGAGTGTTCCCAGCCCTCGTACAATTTAATGACTTCAAGTCTAGTTCTCCTCTATGTGTGGTTCTCACGTACAGGTCCGCCAAATTTTTTAGCAGGGGAATCGTTAACCTGGGACTAGAGAAGCTGGGAGGCTAAAATTTCAACGTAATGTTCCCTGCTCGAATATCACGTAGTTGCACAGTTAACTTTCCGAATTTCAGGGATTACCGTGTCACAAATTCTAGCTACTGGACTTCCGAGCGATCTTACTACAGCACAGAATACTGCAAAAACGCATGATCGCGCGCCTGCTGAGGGTTGCCAGTGATTTTCACACACAGTTGACGGCTTCCCCTGTGTTTTTCTAGAATTGCGCAAGTATCATTCATTAACCTGCTTCATTTCGTCAATTGTCTATCATTTTTAGCACACGACCAACTTTGCATTTCCTAGTATCCACTTCCTTGATATTATCCGCGCCAGACGAATTGCAGTATTTCGTTGAAGATATGCTGTTGCAGCTTGTCGACACCCACCATGCGTCGTTCCCCGACCATCTAACTTCTGCTCCTCAAACAGATTGATATTCCATGTTTCACTTTCATAGAAATGCTATTAATATAGTAGAACTTTTCACAACTTAGTGAAGAGACGCTTTGTAACTCTTTTCTTTTGATTAATTTCACACCCAAGTCGTTACTCGTTTGTTTTATTTGTCCCAAATAAATCAGTAATCAAAGTTCCTGAAATTCTACAGAAGAAATATCAAGGCCGTTTGGGCTGTCAGTGTATCTCGTGTTTTTGATTTTATGCGGACGCTCCCAAACGCTGAGTGCAGCTGTGTCAGGCCCCTATTTCATAATTTCGAAATAAAGCAAGCCAGAGGTTGGAAATTTGGAGTTTTTTCATTCAAGTTCTTAGGTTGAAAAAAAAAACTGTGTCCAGCCCTATGTTCCACTCTTCCTCTTCCTTGACTTCCAGATTTGAGCTAAACCATTAACTTCAGGACGAAAAAGATAACAAATTTTAATGTCGTAGATCTAATTCATAAAAAAGTGCTGGCTGAAGAACCTAAAAAAACAACAGCCTTCAGACTTCAGTGTAGCTTGACCTACTGCTTTAGATCTATGTTCAGAGAAGCTCCACAATTTAAGAACTCTAAACGAATTTAAATATCAAAGTAACCTGCATTCGTTTTCAAACCTGTACCTTCTAACAGATGACTTTTGACTCAAGTTCAAGTAATTTAATAATTTTTGGTGGAACAGGCTACAAATTTTAAATTTCTGTGTGATCTTGAATTACCACATTGTACAAGAGGAATACCCATTAATTAACTTCCTTATCTTACAAAGCAGTCAAAGTAGTACCTTAGGTTGAGTGGGACAAAAATCTACAATTTGTTGTTTTTTTATGCATTAGATGGGTCACCATGCAAACATTTTCTTGATACAGTGAAATTTACCCTGGCGTTTTATCTATCCTGGCCTTTTCACTTCTGTGAATCTACAAAAGCTGGTCGAGGACATACATCCCCTTTATTGCAAGTAGCTATTTAATAGCTTTTGTCGATTTAGAAATAAAGATAGTTTATGACTAAAATTTTCTTGAGATGTACATGGAACAAAAAATAGCGGAATCAATCAAACTTGAACTTGCAAGCGTCATTGAGGAAATCGTCTACAAAGCGGAGCAGGATGGCCACTGGATAAATATTGTCCGGAACGGGCTGAATCCGGAACTGGAATATGGCCGTGCTATATATGACTCAGTCATACTGCCTGCTGTAGCAAAGGTTACGCTTTTTGCGATTCCAGTCAAGGAAACTTCCAAATGAGAAAAGTGTACATAAATTTTGATATTCGCTGAATCAGTCATGAATCTCTGAAAAACTTATTTTTGCCAACACACAGGTTTAAGAACATCGCCCTGCTAAGATGTTTGGAGACAAAATTATAAGTGGCACACATTCAGCAGTAAAGTGAACGGAAAAAGTAAGAAGGAAAGCAATCTTGGCTGGGAGTGGAAATGAGTATCTTCAGTTGAAAAGGGTTTAATACGTAGCCATGTTTAACAAAGACTTCTTGAAGGCAA